AAAAATCGGTAATCACTCGTAGTGTGCGCGACTGCCAGCGCTACCTATCAGTGTAGATTGCAACAACACAGTCCAACTCGGTGGAGGCATGGCCGTGCTCCGAAAGTCCGTGCTCAGCAGCGTCTGCCACAGTCTTTGATAAGACCTTCCGTTGGCTATCAGACGGCCGCTGAGCCTTGCGGGAATATAATTGATACTCAATGTGTCAATAGTACGAAGATAAGTTAAGGAGTACGGTCCAACTTCGGGGTGCACGACGGCAGTTGCCAGTTGCCTTGGCCCCTTGAGGGCGCCTCGCCGGCCAGCCCGGCCTTACTTACTTACTTACTTACTTACTGAAATAGTCCTGTATAAGTACTGATTCCGGCCAGCCTGTTTTAGTTGACACTCTGATCCCATGAGACCGTTTCAACAGGGATAGTCAGGCTAATTCCAATTCTATCCGCCCAGTTACCACACTCTTTTGAAACTGAACTCTTTGAACTCTTTTGAAAAGTAAAATCCAAATGCACTGTCCAATTTGAGAATTTGTTTAATTTGAGTTTTGTATGGAATTTGTTTCAGATCCACCTCGGGCGCCATACCTGCAGATCGACGGGCGGCGTCTGGACCCGGGGAACCTGTTCATCCCGGTGAAGGAGAACATGGAGCTGTCGGTGGAGTGCGTGATCGAGGGCGGGAGTCCGGCCCCGCGGCTGGACTGGCTCCTCCAGCCGAGCCCGCAGGCGAGCAGCCAGGACGCCCAGGCGCCCCCGCCGGCCCCGCTCGCCCTCCAGACCTCCAACACGAGCGCCTACTCCGGCTCCGGCCTCGCCCGCCGCGCCAAGATCGCCAAGGTCCAACGCGCCCACCACAACGCCACCGTTGCCTGCATCGCCTACCACGAGACCTTCCCCACACCCCTCAACGCCTCCCTCCTCCTAGATGTACAATGTGAGTAAAACATCATCGAATACCATTCACTGAAATTCATGTACTGTAATATGGATTGCATTTCGCAAAAAGGAACCAGGAGAATCGCCGTGTTGCTAAGATTGTGCCACTTCACCCTTTCCATAAGACTATCGTAATCGTGCAAAAATATGACATTTACGTGGACATTTTTGTCTTTTTACAGGTTTTAGCGTGTAAGGTAGAACATTTTTAAAGATGATCAGGTTTTTCTTCCAAGACAAAAGAAGTTACATAATCTAAGCAACATTGCAATGCTCTTGGTTCCTTTTTGCAAAATGCAATCCATATGTTCGAGAAATACGTCAGGAGGATCGACACAAATTCGTGAGATTCTGTATTCCTTTTAGACTAGTTACATCTGCTTCTAAGCAAAGCTGATGGCCGGCACTCAGGGTTGCACAAATGTAATGTAAAACTTCTTGGGATAAAAACGTTCTAGCATGCCTAACCAAACCTGGGATGGGATACCAAGCAGTTCACATAAAATACATAGTTTAGAGGAGAAACTATCTCAAATTCTACTCTACCATATGAGGCTACGAAATTGCCAAATAATAATGCAGTTTTGCCCCCCTTTGGATAAAAAATAAACGAAATTACGCTGTTAATAGAACACAAAGCTTTACCTGTCAAAATCTAAAAATCTAATTTCCCGACCCTACTCGACAAAAATCGCTTCCTCACAAATTTTGACAGTGTGGACCAAGGCCGCTTTCCCCATCATGGACGGTCACGAACGGAGGGAAAGCAGTGTTACCAACTTGCGGGGGTCGCAGATCCCTTCAGGGAGCCGGGAGCAACTCAAATACGAAACGCAACCTCGGAGGGGTCCGGACGGTGAACTTCTCCCGGCCCGCCATGCCACGGGAAACGAACGGAACGAACAAAATCAAAGGCGGCATCGATAAAAAGGCTGGAAACAGAATCAACCCATTTCAAGCCTAAAACATTTTGCGCGCTCATCCGTGGAGGAAATAAGGGATACGAGGGGGGGGGGGGCTGTGCCGCGCCCGATACCCATTCTTGTGTTAGTATTCCGAACTCGTCTGACAAGGGTCCGCGAATTTCCTCCCGCCCAGACACTCGGGCCCTTTTTCTCCCGCGCAAACTTCTTGTTTACCCTCCGCAAACGCGGTTGAGAAGCGCGGAGGGGCCGGCGTAAGCCCCGCCGCAGAACATGCAAATAATTTTTCAGCGGGGATGGATTTACAGGGTTTGCTCGTCAATATTCATCAAGGATATGTTTGGTTTCAAATAAAAGCGAGGCAATTTTATCCGTAACCTCGGAAGCTGCAGTTTGCTCCGGTGAGGATGGTAACCGACTCATCCTCCGTTTTTAGAGCGTCAAGTTGGTGTGAAAACAGCAGTTGCCTCGCAGCGTTTATAAAGTGGGTGTGTTCATTTGTGGGCTGCCTTTTGATCCGTCTCGCAAAATTGATTTTGAAACTAAACAGAAAAATAGTAAATATCTCGATTGTAAGTTTGGGTAATTTTGAAGGCTTCAGATAGCATTTTAGGCCACTCATGCCATCTTGAATTTTGAAATTTTGAAAATATGACTGAAAATTCGAGTTCTTCGTCAAAAAATTCTCCGCGATACCAAGCATCAGAAAAATCCATGGAACAGACGCTGAAATTGCAGTTTAGGTGTCTGCCCTTTTGGATTTTAGAATTTTGAAGATTTCAAGTTGTCCGTCAAAAAATTCCCCCTGGCTCCAAGTTTTACAAAATTCAGTTGAACAGGGGCCGCATATCGCAGGATCTGTAGGGCTCTATATAATGGTAAACGATACCAGTCAATTGCCATACGTTAGTGCGCCTACAATTCCATCTGATACTGTGCAATACTTCTGTGGCTGAATAGTTGCTCGGAGCGCCTCCAATAGTGTCGCCCCCACTTGATGGCAAAGGGTCCACGATATTGCCGCTGAGATAATACTCCAGAGCGTGTGTAGTTACACATTATATCATTATCGACGGTGAGGTAAAAAACATTCAAACCCCAATTGGTGACGTTGCAAGTATGTATTTCATTGCCTGTTTTATGCGGTCGAAGCAATATGAACGCCTAAAAATCTGCCGTGATTTTTCCGAGATATAATGAAAAATATTTTTTACTGTTCCATTCAAGTCAATTTGTATGCTGTCGTTAAATAAGAAAAAAGAAGTGTGAGTAGGAAAGTTCGAAGAAACAAAGGCGGGTCCGAAATTTATATACCTTGAAATAAATTTGCCTTGAAAAAAAATAGGGGGGGGGGGGGGATGCCAATACAAACAGACTGACAATCAGCGTTATTATCACTTCGATTTTGCGCTGTTGTGTCTGATTATGAACTTTGATTATAGTTATTTTGATGATGTAATGAGGATTTAAAAAAGGAAAGTAGAAGTAGGAAATAATCCTTGAGAGGAATAAAAAAATAAATACATCAATAAGTAAACAAGCTGTTTCAACACAAACAATTGAAGAGTGCGCTCATATTGAGGTTTATATTAGCTGAGAGTTCAGGCCTTCATAGAGCTATGACGGCAGTCAGCGTACAAACAAGAAAGCATTCTGTAGTGACGTTTCTCTTTTAGTATGTAATGTAAAATATCGATATCAGCACGAATGACTGACGAATACAGTCTCAAACAGGCGGTAAAATACGTAGATGCAGAAAGAACAGAATTCTTAGATACTTTGATGCGATTGGTTTGGAGTTTACTAGATAAGGATAGTTTACAGACAACAAATACCCTGTAAGACTGAGAAAAATACCTAATAGAATTCGCAAAATGTTATAATAAGTTCTTGGAGAGTTTCACAACGAAGCAAAGGAACTAGAAGCTCTTGTCGAGTTAATTCAAAAATAGAATACTGAATAATTCATGGAGAACGTAATTCGATGTGGCGCGCGTCGGAATCCGAAATCGAATTTGAATTTGAATCTGATTCCATAATTGCAAACTTAGCCGATTTTGCCGTTTACTCATACGCCTTCCATTCAAACTTCATAGTAGACGCCAGCTCTCACACAATATCACCTAATTTTCACCCTTAAAACTCATTATTTGTAAAAGCGCAATCTCAATTTGATAATACCAAATTTCAGTGCAGTAATCTAGCGGCAACGCCAAATTCTGTGTCTGATAAATGTCTTCTTACTTTCTCACTCCCCCAGCTGGTAAAGGAAGTATTGTCATCAACCAAGAAAAAAAAATAATTTCATCATTTCTAGGCGTTTTATTTTAACTTGTAGCTGAAATTTGATTATATTTGCAGAAAAAATTAAACAAGGTTTGTTTACGGTGACTTTGCATTGCATCGGATACTTCTGTTTTAACTTACAGGCCCTAGTTTAAAGTAGGTTTTAGGTCAAATTTATTATGCTATGAAGATTAACAGCTCCAATAAAGCAATTTTTTTGATGCATCTTGTTTTGTCAATGGCCTAGAAATTGTTAATATTCAGTTGTTCCGACTATTTGTGACCTTCCACGGGAAAAGTAGCATGGTGCCTGTTTTTCAAAACATCGATGTTTTTCTTCTTTTCGCGGGATCGGAAAACTGGATTTCGAGTTTTTGACATAGATTATACCTTTCCAATATACACAATAAATCCCCACGTAGTCCGAGGAAAGGCCGCCAAAAGAGGAAGAAAAAAAGTTAAAACGAATCATATTTTTTACAGCCCTTCGATTACGCTATTCTGCGTACAGATATCTGGTATCCCGAAATGTGAGTCACAAACGGCTCAGTTCACTCACTTACCAACACAGGGACTTGAATTGCTTATCAGTGCAACATTTTTGCGATCCTAATATGACAGAAGAGAAGCTCAAGCTTCAAATCGCCATTTTCTCGGTTTCTTTCAACAATTTTGGAAGGTTTGATCGCACAAAAATCTCCCTCGCTATAATGATCCTCCAAATATTTATTCTTAATTTTTGGACATTAGTGTTTTTCCCCCACGGATAATCAGATTAATTTTTGCCAAACGTATTCCGAAAACGTTCTGCTGATCTGGATCTCTGCCTAGTTTTTCTCCCCATCACTCCCGCCTTACCCTCTCCCCCTATTACAACCCTCATGACTATATGCAATCCATGTCTTGGCGGAGATAATGCCTCGTGCGAGATCCTTAGCAGTGCGTCGCGTTGCCAAAGAAAGAACATAAGTCAATTTTCTCGTGCACTTTGGACCGTATGGATGCGCGATCATGGCATGGCTCGGTTTGAATGCAGTTACGTCCCCTGGTTAAAGGAGCGGCGACGCTGCTACTGCTGAGACTGCAAAGCCCCCCGCGATTTTGCATTCCCGCCGGGTTCAAATAAGGAACTGATAAAACTCTGCCCCACATTTCTGATGCGCTCAATTCCGCGAGCGAGGGATTTTGATCGGCGGGAAAATTACGGCGATAGCTCCATCTGATCCTCGCAGGAATAAAATCCCAAATACCAGTTTGCGATGTCGTGGGACACGCGCTTACGGAGGGGTTTAGCGGATTCGATTTGATTATTGGCGGGGAAGAAACTTCCTTAATTCGCTCTACTGCATTATGCAAAAATGAACTAACCTTTTCAGCTCATATCATGAATAAGATGTGCATCATCAATATTTGTTTGTAGTTAGGTGCTAATATAGACGAGGCAGAGAAATTAGTTTCTTTTTGCTGAAAGCGGCCAAGAGGATTGCATAAGTTGTTCCCTTAGACAGCAAGATTTTTCTTTTTGTAGATGCGCACAAGAAAACAGATCAAAAATATAGTTTTACTCACTTGCTCGTAACATTTTAAACTTTCTCATTTTGAGAATGCGGGAGGGCGTGCCGTCGAAACGCGTCTTCTAATTTTATAAAAATTTCATGCGCATTTGAGTAAAGTGCTTCTTGAACTGATCTCCTCTATACTCAATCGTTTCTGGAAATGTACAACCAAGCAACATAGAGGGGTTTTACCTTTAACATCTCTGCGTAACGCTTCTCCACTGAGAACTACA